CTTCCGTCCTTCCCCTTTCACCTCCCAGCATTGTGCCTACATATGCAAATTAACTGCCCCTACATATGCAAATTAACTGCCATCTTTGTTGGCAGTTAATTTGCATATCGCCCTGATTAGCCAATGGGAAGGGTAGCGAAGGTACAGTCAATTACCATGTTTGTCTATTATTAGATAGGATTAAAAAAAACCCATGCCCTTTTCAGGTCTCTGTCCCTCTGGATGATGACAAGGTCTCAGTCTGATGCTTCTGTGTCTTCAGTGCCCCCCAGGGGTTGCTAATCTCTCTCTTTATAGAGAAACACCTTAGCTCAGCACCTCAGAAAGGCAGTGAGCCAAGGGTGGCGTTAGCTACCCCGGAACCCCGCGCCTGGGGAGGGGCAGTTCCTGAGGGAACGCTGACAGCTGGGCCATGGCCCAAGTCAGACTCTTCCCTTCATGCCTTTGCAGCACAGCTTTGTGGCGCCCGCCCACTGTGGGCGGAGCATAATGACACACCCCTGGTCGTGTGACTTGTTTTAACCAATGGGGTGCTAGCGGACACCCCTAGCCATGCCCCTTGCAGGAGGCCGAGAGGCTGGGAGCAGAGCTTTGTCTCCCCGGCAAGCCTCGCTGAGAGCAGGACCTGCAGGTGCAGGGAAGAGCTGGCTTGTATGCCACTGAGGTTCTGTGATGGTTTTTCAAGTGCAGGCAGCAATTTTTGGCAATAAGATACAGACTCTAGAAGAAATAGTAAGTAGAACCCAGCAGGCCATGTCCGCTGCACTCCCTGTTCGAGAAGAAATGGTTTTTCAAGTGCAGGCAGCAATTTTTGGCAATAACAGATACAGACTCTAGAAGAAATAGTAAGTAGAACCCGGCAGGCCATGTCCGCTGCACTCCCTGTTGCAGAAGAAAGAGGCTCAGAGAAGTGAGTTTCTCCCCGGACGCCGGGCTGGAGGTGTGGAGCTGGGACTTGACCCCGGGCCTTCTGTCCTCAGTCCCTCCTGGGAAGAAAGCACTGACCTCGGAGGCCAAGGTCATGTGTGTGACGAAGCCCTGGGGTCGCCTGCCACCTCCCTGAGCCCGAGGCTGTCAGCTCCCAGGCCCACCCCTCTTCCTCTGAATCTGCCCTAACTTTGTTCCAACGAGGATTTCTTAGGATGTGCGTGTGCGTGTGAATGTGAGTATTCACCGTGACAAAGCGCTTCTGTGTCATACTTGACAGGAGGGCTTTTTCATCCAAGTTTAAAGCACTATTGGGGAATAATTAGCGCCACTGGAGTCAAAAACAATGGGGCCCCTCAGAAAAGACAGTCTCAGGAACTCTCGGGTCTTAATTGAACAATTACCTCTTCTGCTGTGAATAGTTCGTTATCGCGCGCCCTGTTATTATGAGCTGTTATTGTTGTTTTAGATGAATGCTGGGGATTTTAAAAAATCAAAAGCCATTTTCACCCACACTGTTCATCCCCCCGACTCGCCGCTGTGACATTCCCGAAGGTCAGCAGTCGCTCGGCAGTGGGTGTCCACGCCCCGGGGTTTCTGTATTCCGATCACTGGGCTGTTTGGATGACAGGGCCGTTAACTAATCCAGACCAGCGTTCCTAGTTGTTGCACTTTGACCGCCTGGTGAAAATGTTTGCATGACACCAAGCACCCCCCACCTTTTATGTTTAGATTCCAAAGTCTCTGGGGAGATCTTTGTTCAGCCCAAGCGTAGAGCCTGAGGCAAAGGAGGTGGTGGCCATGGACCAGAGGACAGGAGAGCAGGGGCTCGGGCAGTGCCGACCCCGCCCCTGGGATGAGGGCAGGGGCCCGGGCAGGAGCGGCCAGGCTGGGAGTCTGTGTTCTTGGAGGAATCACACAACGAAGGCACAGGAACACGGATAAGGCACCGGCCAGTGTCACTCGTGTCCTCAGGAGCCACGTGCAGAGCGTGTGGGCCGGCGCTGCTGTCTCCCCAGAGGTCGTGTCCCTCTTCCTTAAGCAGCACCTGCTGTTAGAGTTCGCCGCCGGCTGCTTCCTTTACCAGGTTAACCACGTGGGCCCGTTCTGACCTGTGAGCCGAGGGCAGACTGGAGGAGGAGGAAGTCGGGGGAATGAGGGGAGTGTAGGGAGACGCTGCCTTCTTTGCTGGGCACTGTCAGGCCCGGACGTGATGTCTGGAACCGCAGCAGCCGTTCTGTGGCCAGGAGGGTCCTGGTGGGATGGAGGTGAAAGGCATGGGGCCCGGGTGATGCCGCCGAGCAGCGGAGTCAACCACCCTGTCTGCTTAGGAGAGTTTGAGACAAGTTTCCCTTCCTATTTAAAGGTCAGGGCTTCCTCTTACTCTGCCAACTCATGCAGATGCAAGAACAGATTTTTATCCCCATTTTACAGATGGAGACAGTGAGACCCAATGAGGTAAACACACTTGCCCGGGGCGCACGGCCTGGACGTGGTGGAGCTGGGTGTGAACACTGTCTCCGGAGGAGACACTTCCCGGAGGGCGGCAGGGTTGTTTTGTAACGAGTGTCTCTGGCCTTTGGAAGCAGGCACACGGTCCATCTCCACAGCAGCAGGCTCAATGGCTCCGAATGTGAGGACAGGAGAGGCTGGGTGAGCTGGGGCTCTAACCCAGCCCCCAGATCCGAGCCCAGAGTCTTCTCAGCACCTCAAGGTGCTCGGTGACATCAGAAAGCCCCCCTTGCTTTTAGCCACCCCATCTTTGGGATGCATCCACTGGATCCCACAGATTTGCCTTTGGCCTGAGCAGGGTGGTGCTGGAGACCCGCCACCAGGGGTCACTGTCGTCACACCCAGGGCCTAGTCAGAGGCGCCTGAGGAAAACTTGTAACCAGGCTACAAGGTGGGCAAGAGCCCCTGCTGAGCTTCCCTTCATGTGTGCCCGAGGCCGTAAGACTCAGACGGCCTCCCCTCCCACCCCCCCCCCCCACACACACACACACACACTCCTGTTCTCCCCAATCCTCTCTCATTCAGAGAGAAGGCAGCCTAGCTCTGCCTCTGGATAGTTGCTGTGTGCCCTTAGGCAAGTTGCCATCCCTCTCTGAACTTCACTTTTCTTTTTCAAAATAGGGGTATTCATTCCACTTCTCCAATGAGGGCTCCCTCTCTCCCCCTGGGGTCTTTCCCTTCATCTGGGCCTAGTTGGACAGGTGTATGAAGACCATTTAGGATGCGG